TGGCTTCAGCGCGCTCTGTCCGCGCAGGCCTCGTGCTTGTGGCGAGTCGGGTTTTTACAGTTTGGGCCTACTATTCAAGCAGTGGCGAATCGTTTTGGCGTGCCTATAGGCCTACCAAACAAGTGTCTAAGAACCTTTTTTGTGGTTTTCACGAAATGTTAGTATAACATGTCTGGCTGGGATTGTCTTAGTTTAACACATCGGGTCTATATTCTAAGGGCATTGTTTTAATATTAGAACATTTTGGGGCTCTGAGAGAATTTCGTGGTAGGACTATAGGAATGCTGGGACGGTCGGTCTCTGCTCAAACTATTTTGTCCATTCGGCCCGCCGCCTCACACGCAGAGGGGTGCCCAGTCGACCAGGCCACTTACGGCTCGTCCTTCAGATTTTCGGGTCCTCTCAAGCTGCCTGCGCTCAGTTGGTCCTGGCTCAGTGTGGTGGGCCTCCGTCGCTGGTGACACATGCGATGCTGTTTGCGTTGTTGCACGGGCGTTGCCTTGTGCGCTGCATGTGTAACACGAGAGCCATGCACTCAAGCGGTCGCACCCATTCGGGGCTTCGAGGGTCAGGGTGAAGGTGTTATGTTGCTGCTTTCTGGCCAGCCTCTCACCTTGTTTCTTCCCCGTGCCCGACAAGCACCTTGCCGAGTTAAGAAATTCCTCCTGATACTCCTCCTCCTCCTCATCATCTTACTCTTCCTCCTCGTGTCCATCACTTTCGCAAGGGATGGTGCACGACAGCAACAGGAAAACGCTACTCGCCTGCATCGACCAAGATCTCCGTCTACAGGGTATACGTCAGAATGGCGAAGATGTTTTGGAACATGCCAGGAATGTTCAAGAAGGTTCGTGCGGCGACGGGGGGCACGTGTGGACGATACAGCTCCGCAGGGCTGCGCTCGAGGGCGCCGGGACCTTTACGCCATCCGTGCCCCCAGGATACAGGCCGCCTCAATGTGGCCAGATCAGATGGGATCGCAGGATCTAGCCGCATCGTCGATGGATCGGCGATGTGGCTCGATCCAGAGCCGATTGTCCATCCCGACGTCGCGGATGCATCGCCCATGCGTTGGTGATGCGGCGCGATCCTCCAATCCTATCTGCTCGCACTCCGTCTGGTCGACCTCCACATGCGCACCCCTTGTCCCCCTTCTTTGTCCACACACACACACATTCACACAAACACAGAATCGAAGCCGCGCCCAGGCGGCGCATTGGCAATGCGTAAACAGTGCAAGACACTTCTTCCGTCGCGGCGCAGCAGAGGCGATCCGCTCGCGCGCCCAAGCAACACGGGCTGCGGCGTTGCGAATCGTCCCGCACGTAGGAGGCAGAGAAGAGAAAGTGAAGGGCAGCCGCAGAGGCAAGAAGAGGGTGACGGGCCTGTTTTCCACCACCACCGCCATCAGTTGGAGGGGGAGGGGTTCCTCCTCCTCATCCTCCTCCTCCACCTCCTGCCCCCCTCAGACTTCTGGTGATGGTGGTGGAAAACAGGCCCATCAGAGGGGGAGGGCGCACACAGCAAAGCAAGACCGATGGCAGAACACACCGCCTGGCCCGGTGGCTGCGCGAGGGTGGGCGGCTGGGCCCGCGCAAGAGTCGAGTGCTCGGAATTGTGACCCTTCGCTGGAGTGACCTTGGGTGCGGGCAAACCACCAGGGTCCCCCGATCGCCGAACGCGACGCGATAGCAGCGTCTTGCGCGCTTGTGTCCGCGCACCAGAGGTCACTCCTATCCAGGGTCAGTCGCCGAAAGAGGGGGGAATGGAGGTGGGGAGGCGACGAGGGTAATCATCCAACTACAGAGTGCAGCACTGTCTGACTGCTGCATGCCATTCCGACGAACATCTGCAGCAAGTCTTGTGAAGTCTCGGGATCGTTACCCACAACTGCTAATCAGGCCCTCCGTGTCCACGTCGGCCCAGGTCCGCTCAACATCGGCTCCCAGGGTCCTCCTGTCCCGCTCTAGGAGGCGGATCCGGCCGCGGCGACCAGAAGCCTGCAGGAGGCCCACAAGGTTGACAAAAACGCCCGGGAGGGCCGCCCTTGATTGGGGTCGCCATGCCCGCCGCAACCGCTTCCCCCCGAAACGAGCGGCCTCCTGGGAGAGCCTCCCGGCGGGGCAGGAGGGGCGGGGCACGAGCCTCTGCCGGCCGTTCCTGGTCGCCTTCGCGGTGCCAGGCCGCGTCGCAGCGCAGAGAAGAGGACATGGAGCAGGAGGAGCACCGCGAGGAGGCGAGACAACGGGGAGGGCTGCGTACTGCCTCCTCCTCCTCCTCCTCCTCCTCCTCCTCCTCCTCCTCCTCCTCCTCCTCCTCCTCCTCTTCCTCCCCCCTCCCCCCTCCCCCCTGCAGCACATGTGGCCGGCCTGCCCCACCTGCGCGTCGCCGCGATGGCTGGGCGTCCCCCGGGGCCGCGGGCGGGGCTCGCCGCACTGTGCACCCTGGCGGTGAACGTGCCCTGGCTGCTGCTCCCAGGATCGCTCGGGACGATCGAAATGGGCACGGAAAGAATGGGTATGAGAGCCCAACAGCAGTTTCTGTTCATTTTGAACCGGAATCTTTGTCCGCGGCGCCGCAGAAACTATTCTTTGAAGAGCGGCACGGCGCTCCGCGCGCCTGGGAGAGGGTAGAGCGCAGATCCAGAAAATCCGCGCGGCGCGCCAAAAGTTTATGTTTATGCCGCTTTTTCTTCCTCTAACGCAAGGCAACGGTACAGTCAACCCGCGGAGTAAGGATGAGCAACTTGTCCTAGGTTACCCTTGCACCCTTGCCCCTTCGGTCCATCCCTGGCAACTTTCGCTGGCCAGCCCCTTAGAGTACCCTTGGGGCGGGCTGCATCCTTCGGTTGCGCGGCGCGACGCCCCTGAGGGCCAAGCCTAGCGGATGCGCGATGGGCAGGGCACCTTTGGCCATCCTCGGGCCTGTTGTTCCGTCCTTTCATTCGCGGTGGGCCGTGGCCCTAAGGATGCGCGACGCGCAGGGTACTTGTCCCCATTCTCCGACGCGTTTTCTTTGCTCTCCCACTCACGGGTGGGCGCGGTCCTGAGGACGAGCGATGGGCAAGGCACCCTTGGCCATCCTCCGCCCCGTTTTTGCAGTCTTTGCATTCGCGGGGGGCCGCGGGCCCAAGGATGCGCGACGCGCAGGGTACTTGTGCACATCCTTGGGCACGTCTTCCTTGCCCTCCCATTCACGAGTCCTCAATGCATGGTCGCCTCCGGCGCTGGGAGGCGCCGCGAAAATCAGTTCGGCAAGGATGGGGGTGCGTTAGGGTACCCTTGTATACTCCGGTATTCGGCGGCGCTCCGCTCGAAAAACGTCGACATGGCTTTCCAAGGCCCTTGCATCCTTATCGTGCACCCTTACTCCGCGGGTTGACTGTACACGCCATTCGTTGAAGGATGCAGGTCGTTTTTGACCCCCAGGTCCCTATCTATTTTGGGTGTTTTCCCTACTCCGATCAAGGAGTGTTCGTTTTCCTTCTCCTTGGTGTCGGGTCCTCGTTTTGAAGAGACAGCGCCCCGCGTTCTCTTCCCGCCTCCTTCCTCTCGCCGTCTCCCTCCTCCCGCCTCCTTCCTCTCGCCGCCTCGGCACCACGGCATCCGTGGCCGCACAGGGAGCTCCACCGAAGGCCCGAGACGCAGCGCCAGCATGGCACCACCGCACCCGTCCCGGCACACCCCTCACACGCCTCGTGGCCCCATAAGGAGCTGCACCTGAGGCCCCAGTGGCAGCGCCCGCATGGCACCACCGCCTGCGTTTCGGCACACCCCTCACACGCTTCGTGGCATAGGGAGCTGCACCGAAGGCCCCAGTGGCAGCGCCCGCATGGCACCACCGCCAACGTTTCGGCACATGGCACCCCCGCACCCGTTTCGGCACACCTCTCACACGTTTCGGGCCCCGTAGGGAGCTCCACCGAAGAGGATAGGCATATGGTTGCGTCTTTCGCCAGGATAGCGTTTTCACCTACTTTTTCTGACAGTCTCGGGGGAATGCGCCGACCCCAACCGCACATGCCCACCTCAGTATCGCCAATGGGGGCCTGGTAGCCCACGTCGCCGAGGAACGTGCGGTTTCGCCATCGGAGGCCTGCATCGCGGATGCATCGCCGAATCCAGGTCGATGTTCCCCCCTTGGGCCGGTCCACCTCTACCGTTCCCCCTCAGGATCGCGAGCGTCGTGGGGCTGGACGGGCTCCACAATTCGGGCAGTGGCGAAGGGAGGGTTATTACCAGTGGGGGGCAGCGCCTCCTCCTCGAACTCGAGAATCGAGGACGAGGGAGGATCGAGGATCGAGGGGGCCAGGAAACTGCCTGTTCGGTTCGAAACGGCTCCGAGGTATCTTCCACTCGGCATCGGCGCATTTCTCAGGCCCCAGGAAGACACTGGAAGCCTAAAGACGTCCAAAATGTTTGGGCGTCTTTCTGAGCTGAGTCCTTTTCTGAGTCCCCTTGCTTTGGGCGTCGTTCTGAGTCCCTCGGGTCCATCTTTGGGCGCCTTTCTGAGTCGTTCTTTGGGGTTCTTTCTCCTGGGGTGGTGGAGGGCGGTGCGTCGGGGGGGCGGCGACCCCACCAGTGGTGACCCCCCTGTGGCACTGCCTGGCGATGGCGTGCAGCTTCGGGAGCAACGTGGTCTGCCGCAGCGGCGCGTTCTCTCTCCTGCAGGGCGAGACGTGCACGCCGGCCTGCACCTCGGGCACGGTGGCCGGGGAGTCCGTGCTTGAGTGCCCCTCCTCCGTCTGCGCGGACAGGTCGTCGGGTTGGACCTGCAACTTGATTTCCGACGGGGCGTGGTGGAACACGTGCGGGTGGACCAGCGCATCGGTGGGCACATGCGCCCGCACCAAAGCGATCACAGACGTCACATGCTCGCCCGCGCCCGCGCCGACGTTTGGGCCTACGGCTGCGCCTACGGCTGGGCCCACACCATCACCAACGCCGGCACCCACACCCAACCCCACGCCCAAACCCACGCCCAGCCCGACTCCCAGCCCCATGCCCAGCCCCACGGCCAGCCCCACTCCCAGCCCCACGCCAAGCCCTACTCCCAGCCCCACACCCAGTCCGACTCCCAGCCCCACGCCCAGCCCCACGCGTAGCCCGACTCCCAGCCCCACGCCTAGCCCAGGTCTCAGCCCCACGTCCAGCCCCACGCCCAGTCCGGCTACCAGCCCCACGCCCACCCCCACATTCGTGCCCACTGCTGGGCCCTCGCTGGCACCAACGCCGGCACCCACGCCCAACCCCACGCCTAGCCCGACTACCAGCCCCACTCCTAGCCCGACTCCCAGTCCCACGTCCAGCCCCACGCCCAGCACCCCGCCCAGCCCGACTCCCAGCCCCACGCCCAGCCCCATGCCCAGCCCGACTCCCAACACCACATCTAGCCCTACGCTCAGTCCGACTGCCAGCCCCGCGCCCAGCCCGACTGCGAGCCCCACGTCCAGCCCCACGCCCAGCCCCACAAGTGGGGCCAGCAGCGCCACCGTGACAAGCAGTAGCGCGGCAAGCAACACCATGGTGACCAGCACGAGTGGGACCAGCAGCGCAACCGTGACAAGCAGCATTGTTACCAGCAGCGCCACTGTGACCAGCACGAGTGGGACCAGCAGCGCAACCAGAACAACTGCGACCGCAACCAGTACGACGCAGTCTACTACAACTACGCCGCTTTATGTCGTAACCAGTTCGATGTCGTTCGAAAGTTCTGGCACTGAAGACGAGGTGACGGATGTGGTAACTTCGCATTTGTCCAATTATCGAAGTCGCCCACGGCGAACCACCGCCGCCTCTTGCCTTTGGAACCGCTAATGTGGCCAACCGGTGGGTTGACGTGTTGCCAGGCTGTTGGACTACGTGCTCCCTGAGTTGCTGTGGAAACCAGTTGGGAAACCGTTGCGGGATGACGAAGAGAGGAAGAGGAGAAGAAGGAGGAGGAAACGGAGGCCTCGTAGGGGCCTCTTGAGGGCTTTTGAGGGCCTCTTGGGGGCTTCTGAGGGCTTTGGGGGATCCCGTGGGGTCCTCTTGTTGGCGTCTTGGGGCCCCCTTGACTGGTTCCTCTTTCCTCCCTTGCCTCCGGCGGCCTCTTTGGAGCATCTTGGGCTTCGGAGGCCGTTTTGGCTGTCCCTCGAGGCCGTCGTGGCCGCCTTCTTCGGTCGCTTCACGGCCGTCTTGGAGGTATGTGGGACCGTGTTGGGGCCCATTTGGGGCCGTTTTGGGGGGCCTTCTTGTGGGCCTTTTGGACCGTATTGGGGTTACCTTGGAGGCCTCTTGGGCCGCCTTCGGATGTCGAAAGCCCGACAATGGTGGGAACGCGAAAACAATTGAAACACCTGAAAGTAGTATTATCCCGGCAAAGCAACCTAACAGCGATGTGTAGGAGCATATCTGGAAGCATTCCCCTTACGATCCAGATGATAATCCAGTTGTAGAATTCTGCTGTTCTCGCAGTCGCAGTCGCATTCGCGATGACAGTCGCAGTGGCAACGGCAGTCGCAGCCGCAGCCTGCCTCAGCCTCAGCCTGCCTCAGCCTCAGCCTCAGCCTGCCTCAGCCTCAGCCTCAGCCTGCTTCAGCCTCAGCCTCAGTCTGCCTTCAGCCTCGGCCTCAGCCTCAGCCTGCCTCAGCCTCAGCCTGCATCAGCCTCAGCCTCAGCCTCAGCCTGCCTCAGCATCAGCCTGCCTCAGCCTCAGCCTCAGCCTGCCTCAGCCTCAGCCTCAGCCTGCTTCAGCCTCAGCCTCAGTCTGCCTTCAGCCTCGGCCTCAGCCTCAGCCTGCCTCAGCCTCAGCCTGCATCAGCCTCAGCCTCAGCCTCAGCCTCAGCCTCAGCCTGCTCAGCCTCAGCCTCAGCCTGCCTCAGCCTCAGCCTCAGCCTGCTTCAGCCTCAGCCTCAGTCTGCCTTCAGCCTCGGCCTCAGCCTCAGCCTGCCTCAGCCTCAGCCTGCATCAGCCTCAGCCTCAGCCTCAGCCTGCCTCAGCATCAGCCTGCCTCAGCCTCAGCCTCAGCCTGCCTCAGCCTCAGCCTCAGCCTGCTTCAGCCTCAGCCTCAGTCTGCCTTCAGCCTCGGCCTCAGCCTCAGCCTGCCTCAGCCTCAGCCTGCATCAGCCTCAGCCTCAGCCTCAGCCTGCCTCAGCATCAGCCTGCCTCAGCCTCAGCCTCAGCCTGCCTCAGCCTCAGCCTCAGCCTGCTTCAGCCTCAGCCTCAGTCTGCCTTCAGCCTCGGCCTCAGCCTCAGCCTGCCTCAGCCTCAGCCTGCCTCAGCCTCAGCCTCAGCCTGCCTCAGCATTCAAAATGTGGCCTGGGAATGGAGTTCTGGGAACTCGAAGAACACGAAGTGGCCTGCAGTTGGCTCCGGGCATTCAAGATCATGCCCGGGAATGGAGTTCTGGGAACTCGAAGAACACGAAGTGGCCTACAGTTGGCTCCGGGCATTCAAGATCATGCCCGGGAATGGAGTTCTGGGAACTCGAAGACCACGAAGTGGCCTACATTTGGCTCCGGGCATTCAAAATCATGCCCAGGAATGGACTTCTGGGAACTCGAAGAGCATGAAGTGGCCTACAGTTGGCTCCGGGCATTCAAAATGTGGCCCGGGAATGGAGTTTTGGGAACTTGAAGAGCACGAAGTTGCCTACAGTTGGCTCCCGGCATTCAAAATGTGGCCCGGGAATGGAGTTTTGGAGCTCGAAGAGCACGAAGAAGCTTACAGCTGGCTCCGGGCATTCAGAATGTGGCCCAGGAATGGAGTTTTGGGAACTCGAAGAACACGAAGTGTGTAACTGTTTGCTTAAAACGACTTCCGCGGATTTTCCCCGGATCCTGCCCAGACCCCCCTGGGGAGTCATGATGCTCTCTTTTGAGACCACTAGAAACCTATCAGTCTTCGCTGTTAGGTAAAATGAGTCTGGCCTCCTGGAGGTCCTCTTCTTGGAGCCCTCGTGGGGCGGCTTGGGCGCCTCGTGGGCCGTCTGGAGGGCATCTTCGGCCGTCTTGGAGCCATTTTGGGCCGACATGGAGACCATCTTGTCTCTCTTCGGGCCATTCTGGCTGTCTTTGAGGCGTCTTGGGGCCATCTTGAAGCCATCTTGGGCATATTGGAGGCATCTGCGGACTATCTTGGGCGTAAATAGCCTTGCCTCCCACCTCGACCGTGTGGCCGGCGGGTCAAGACGAATGCCATTGGGAATTTGCGGAAAGATTCGAAGCATAATAATGTCAGCACGCAAAGCATACGTATTAAAAAAATCAGCGGAGGTGGATAACGGCGAATCACCGCCGCCCCTTGCTATTTGAAAGGGCTGATGTGGCCGAACGTTGCAGCCAGAGCTCGGGGAGAAAGGAGAAAAGATGAGAAGGGGAAGAAGGAGGAGGAGGAGGAGACGGATGTTGATCAAGGTGATGTTGCTGTTGTTGCTGCTGCTGATGATGATGAAGATGATTCATCATCATGATCATGATGATGATGATGATGATGATGATGATGACGATGATGAGTATGATTACGATGATGATTACGATGATGTTGTTGCTGCGGATGATGATGCTGCTGATGATGATGACGATGATGATGATGCTGCTGGTGATGATGCTACTTATGATGGTGATGATGACGATGCTGATGATGGTGATGATGATGACGATGACGATGATGATGATGGTGTTGATGATAATGATGATGATGATGACGATGCTGATAATGAGGAGGAGGAGGAGGACCCGTGTAAACCAAAAGGTTCACCAGCATGGAATAAACCCTCCCCGAAGCTTCCTCTTCAAGATGCCTTAAAAGGGTTCATTCGCACTGAAAGAAGTGCGCCATTGGGAGACAACCGTTTGAAGATCCTGATACGTGCCAGAACACCGTTCTCGGAACTCAGCGCCACGAAACAATTTGATTGTTGCGTCTTGACGATCCCGAATCGCACCAGGCCACAATTCCTGGGATTTCAATACCGCGAATTAACTTAATAAGCGCCCTGGCAGTGCTGATTCGTTCCGAAACATCATGTCTCTGACGTTCGGCATGGGAGTCCGTGAGACCCTTGCAAAGTCTTAACAAGAGTGTGCGCGGCGCTAAGGCGAGAGCCACACTTTGAAAAGGTGCCCTGCTCCATCTGTGAAATTCTTGCAAAGGTAGGGATGTGCGTGGCGCTCATGGGAGAGCCACATGTGTGACATGAGTGTGCGAGGCGCTAAGAAGAGCCACATTTTGGAAACGACTCGCCCTCAGTCCGTGAAACTCTTGCAAAGGTGTGAAGCGAGTGTGCGAGGCGTTGAAGCGAGAGCCACATTTTGAAAACGGCACGCCCTTCTGTTGTGAAACTTTTGTCAATTTTCATGTTTCATGATCATAAGTGTCAAGGAAGCCTCAGGCGAAACGCCCAGCCCGCCCTTCCGACTGGCCTCGGGGTGCGACCGGGAGGCGTTTTTGCAGGGAAGAGGAATGAAGGAGGAGGCGTCTTGGCCGCCTTTGGTGGCATTCTTGGGGCCTCCTGGGAGCCTCGTGGGGGCGTCTTGGAGGCATTTTGGGAGCTTTTTGGGGCCTCTTGGGGACCTTTGGAGCCTCCTTTGGAGGCTCTGTGGCCGTCTGAGGCCGTTCATCATCAGTCGAACCCGAGGCCCAGGCCCCGCCCTCGAGAATCTAGAGTCTAAGAGTGTCTTGCCCCATTGATGTTCCGATCGTCTCTTGATTCGGAGGTGGTGCACCTCATGTTTCTGTTTGCCCGTTTCTTGAATTTCTTTCGCAAGTCTTTGGTCGTGTTGCGAGTGGGAGCCATTGCAGATCGACACAGATGGGCGTCGGATAGAATGACCGCTGCTGCGCGAAGAGTCGACGAAGGCTTCCTCTGAATAATAGCGGGCAGGGAGAAAAAGCAAACGACGGTTCCATAAAAAAGGTGTCGATATATACACTATATGTACATACATGTATATATGCATATTACATATTAGTTTTCGGATCCAAGTCTGTGATAAGCATTCGCGTTTGTGAAGACATGGAATCGTGTTTGTTTGAAGATCGCTTTGGTGCGTAATATCTCTTCATCCTTTTGGATGAACATATGTTCCCAACCATCATGTGGTGTAGGGTGCTCATTTTGCAGACAGCCCCTGCGTTCTCCTTCTCCTCCCGCTGCCCTGCTCCCATTCCTGCCTCTGCCCTCTGCACCAGCCAACCATTTCAGCGCACCCTTCACGTTTCGTGGCCCCACAGGGGGCTCCACCGAAGGCCCCAGTGGCGACGTTCCCATGCGCTCGCCGCGCCCATTTTGGCACACCCATCACACGTCTCGTTGCCCCATAGGCAACTCCACCGAAGGCCCCAGTGGCTGCGTTCCAATGCGCCCGCCTCACCCACGTCGGCACACCCCTCGCACGCTTCGTGGCCCCACAGGGAGCTCCACCGAAGGCCCCAGTGGTGGCGTTCGCATGCGCCTGCCGCATCCATTTCGGCACACACCCCACACGGTTCGTGACTCTACAGGCAGGTCCACCGAAGGCCTCAGTGGCTGCGTTCGCATGCGCCCGCCGCACCCATGTCGGCACGCCCCTCACACATTTCGTGGCTCCATAGGGAGCTCCACCGAAGGCCCCAGTGGCGACGTTCCCATGCGCCCGCCGCACCCAGGCCGCCGGTACACCCCTCACACGTTTCGGGAGCTTTGAGACGAGGGTCAATGCAAACGGGGGTCAGCCAGAGCGCCCGATCTTGCAGGATCCTGCAGGGCCAGGGTCGCATTGACCCGGGTTTGGGAGCAGGATCTTGCAGGATCTTGCATGATCCTTTGCATTGACCAGGGTTTGAGTGCAGGCTCTTGCAGGATCTTGCAGGATTCTGCAAGACCTGACTGACCCGGGTCTGGATTGACCCGGGTCAGCAGATACTCGATTCGTGGCCCTGTAGGGAGCTCCACCGAAGGCCCCAGTGGTTTCGTTCCCATGCGCCCGCCGCACCCAGGTCGGCACACCCCACACACGTTTCGTGGCCGCCACAGGGAGCTCCACCGAAGGTCCCCGTGGTTGCGTTCGCATGCGCCTGCCGCATCCATTTCGGCACACCCCTCACACGCATCGTGGCCCCATAGGGAGCTCCACCGAAGCCCCCAGTGGCGACGTTCCCATGCGCCCGCCGCATCCATTTCGGCACACCCCTCACACGCATCGTGGCCCCATAGGGAGCTCCACCGAAGGCCCCAGTGGCTGCGTTCGCATGCGCCCGCCGCATCCATTTCGGCACACCCCTCACACATTTCGTGACCCGACAGGCACCGAAGGCCCCAGTGGTTTCGTTCCCATGCGCCCGCCGCACCCAGGTCGGCACACCCCACACACGTTTCGTGGCCGCCACAGGGAGCTCCACCGAAGGTCCCCGTGGTTGCGTTCGCATGCGCCTGCCGCATCCATTTCGGCACACCCCTCACACGCATCGTGGCCCCATAGGGAGCTCCACCGAAGGCCCCAGTGGCGGCGTTTGCATGCGCGCGCCGCGCCCATTTCGGAATATTCGCACCATCTTGGAGGCCATCTTGGGCGCTCTGGGTGCGATCTGGGGGGTCTCTTTGGCCACAAGAAGGCCGAGAAGGAGGAGCACATGCCACCAGCCTTCAAAAACTTGTGGAGAGCAGCACATGACTTTGGCATTCTCGGGCCTTCCTGGAGGATCCCTGGGAAGCCATGTGGGCCGTCTTGACTGCCTCTTGGGGGCCTCTTCGGGTGTCTTGGGCCGTCTTGGAGGCCAGCTTGGATCGTCTTGGGTGCATCTTGGCCGTCTTGGAGACATCTTGCCTCCATCTTGGGTTCTCTTCAAACCATCTTGGCCGTCTTGGATGCCATCTCGGAGGCTATCTTGGGGCCATCTTAAGGGGAAGGCCAACGGAGACCGAAATCGGCGGGGCATTCCGCGCGGAAGTTTTGACAGGACCAAGCCTTGCCTAAAGTCATGAATGCCTCACGGGCTTCGCTTGGGCCGTCTTGAGCCGTTTTGGAGGTTTCTCGGGCGGATTTGGAGGCTTCTTGGACCCTCGCGGGCCGTCCCGTCTTGGAGACCACCGTGGAGCCATATGTAGCAGGAAACACCTTGGCAGCCACCTCTCGTGCAGCTCTCCGGGTGGCAGGCGCGCTGGGCCGAAGTCCAAGGGGGCTTTTCCTTACAGAAAACCATCAGAAATTTATCACGCCGGGCACCCCTGTGATAAATCAACAGGGGGTGGCGGATCGAAGACGCCTACGGCGAATCACCGCCGCTCACTGCCTTTTGGAATCGCCCATGTGGCCGAGGGTTGTGGCAAGGGCTATGCCAAGCCATCGGACCATGTGTTCCCCCAGCCGTTGCGGAAACTCTTTGGGGAACACTCGGGGGGGGATGGCGGGGAAGATCAGGATGAGGAGGAGGAGGAGGAGAAGGAGGAGGGGTCATCCTGGGAGCCTCTTGGGGCACTCTTGGGGCCTCCTGGGAGCTCCTTTGGGCATCTCGGATGCCTCTTGGAAGCCTCCTTGGGCCTTTCGGGGGCCTGCTGAGACTTCTTGGATGCCTCTTTGGCCGTCTAAGGGCGTTCCTGGCCTCTCTGGCGCCGTCGGACGCCGTCTTGGGGGTATCTCTGGGCCGACTTCGGGCCCTCTTGGGGTGCTGCAGGGCCTGCCTTGGAGGCCGTCTTGGGCATCTTGGAGGCCTCTTGGGCCGTCTTGAGGCCATCTTGCTCTCGGGACAGTCTTGAGGGCCTCTTGGGCCGTTCTGGGGCCATCTTGGAGGCCTCTTGGGCGATCTTGGGGCGACCTTGGGGGGCTTTTGGGCCGTCTCGGGCCGTCGAAAGGCCGAGAAGAAGCCAGGTGCAAAATCCGTCGAACACTTGAGGGAAATCAATGATGTTGGCCTCTTCGGGCCCTCCTGGAGGTCCCTTGGAGCTCTCTGGGGCCGTCTTGGAGACCCCTTGGGGCCCTCTTGGGCCGTCCTGGGCCATCTTTGGAGCCATCTTGGGCCCGTCTTGGAGGCGTGTTTGGCAAATGTTGAGGCATCTCGGACCCTCTTGGGTCATCTTGGAGGCCATCTTGAACCATCTTGGGTGAACTTGAGGGCCATCTTGGCTGTCTTGGAGGCCATCTTGGAGCCATATGAAGCGGGAACACACATTGGCCACCTTCTCTTGAAGAGCCTTTCGGGTGGCCGCCGCGCTGGGTCGCAGCCCCAGGCCGAAGCCAAAAACGGTGGTGTGCAAGACGCAGGGGGCGGCGGATCTGGTGGCCTTCGGCCCATCCCGCCGCCGTGGATTAGTTGCAATGTTTGGGGAGCTGTTGGGAGGCCAAGGGAGCCTGCAGGAGGCGGTTTGGGAGTGTTTTTTTGGGGCCTCTCGGGAGCCTCCCGGAGCTTCTGGGGGGGTCTTGATGGCCTGCTGGCGGTCTGGGAGGTCGTCTTGGGCCGCAGGCCTCGAGGTGTCGGTTCGTGCTCCCCCTCTGGGGGCCTCTCTTGGGCACTTCTTCAGGGCCTTTTTGGGCTGTCTTGTGTTCCCGTTGGGCCGTCTTTGGGCCCTCTTGGGTGGTCTGGAGGCCCTCTTGGTGGCCTCTTGGGACGATCGCGGGGGCCTCCTGGGCCGTTTTGGAACGCCGAAGGCAAGAACAAACATACGCGAAACGCAATGAACCACATTTGACAAGTAAACGAGTTGGGCCTCTCGGGGCCCTATTGGGGGCGCCTCTTTGGGCTCTCCTGGGGTTTCTTGGGAGCTCCTTGGGCTGTCTGGAGGGCATCATTGGCAGTCTTGGAGCCTTTTCGGCCGACTCGGGGCGCCCTTGGAACCTCCTGGGCGCTCCCCAGAAAACCTTGGAGGTTCTTCGCGTCGTTCTGGGCGGGATCACTGTCCTGGAGACCCACGCGACCACACGGGCGCCCAACGGCGCCCAAACTGCTGTAAGTTCGTGGTCTGTGCCCTGAGGAATTTTACAGAGCCATCATCGCGCTCTCAGAACTGCAGGGGCCCTGGGGCACTCCTGCATGCTGAAGGTGCGGTGGCGGATTTCGGCGTAGATGACGATCAGCTCTCGGTATCCGTTGCATCTTCATCAGCCCGGTCGGTCTCCAGTTCATGGGATGTCGAATTCGAGGTAGTCGCACCGATTGATTCAGCCGAGCAGCTCTTTAATGCGACAAGCCAAGTTGTTGCCAATCCCTCGAATTTCACATCAGCTTTGCAATCAAGCTTCCAGTTGCAAGGCTTAGACATGGTAGAAACTTCGTTGGGTGTCACACCACCAGAAATTAAGATAATCACTGCTACCGTGACAACTGTGAGCAAGACTCGGACTAGCACGACGGCGAGCAGCGGAACTACGACCAGCAATTCCATGTCGACCAGCACCACGGCCGCGACCGCGACTGATACCTCGACAACTGATGGTAGTGTCGCTGAGAGCACGAGTGGTACCCTGACGACGACCCGTACTGCTGCTGCGACCGCGACGGCGACTATTGTTTCGACTGTCACTACTGCGCCCGCGCTTGACGAGAACGGTCTGGAGTCGAGCTTTGCAAAAATGCGGCAGGTTTGGCTGTTGGCGTTAGCCACATCAGGATTGTTGGGTGCGCGTGTAGGCGAACGGCTCTGAGAGTAAATCTTTCCCTTGCCACGACACGAGCCACACGTTCGGCAAAGCCGGAGTGAACAGTCAGGATCGCAGGCGCGCTCCGTCTCCGTCGTCGTCGGTGGCGGCGTCTCCGTCGTCGTAGTGCGTGTTATTATGTTCGGGACTTGTTTCCCCTATGCAGCGCTCCCCCCTTCCTCCTCCGTGCTCCTCCTAGTCCACACTCGAGATCGTAAAGTAACCATGTACTACGACATCTGAGTTTCGGCGCTCCGGCGCCCCCGCCGAGCTCTTAGAGGGCCGCCCCCAGGGCGCACATCGGCGCCTGTCTGTCTGTCCTCATCCTCGGCATTCTCAAAGTGTTGGCGTCTCGCAAGGGTTCGCCTCCTTTCAGAAGGCCTCCCGCGGGCAGGTGGGCCCCTCGGAGCAGCAGGCAGCCTTCTTGGAAGCCCCACCTGCTTCGCCCTGTAGTCGGCCCTGATTGGTAGGTCTACCCTGCCAGCTCAAGGGTACCCTTGTGTCCTGTGCCTCGCGGCACCTGCCTTCTTACACTCCTGCGGCAATGTGGCCTTCGGAAGGGTCTTGTGTCCTCTCGCGTGTCCTCTCCAATCAAGTTCGACTGTCCCCTCTCGTGCGCGCCGGCAAAAGAAAACATCTGCAGAATTCGCTGACACAACGGTCATTTGGTTTTCCCTGCTCTGTCGCAGTTTTCCGTTGCCGTTCCACACGGCTCGCCGTCGCCCGCTTGGCGGAGGTGCACGGTGTGAGCGTGTTGGTTGGAATGTTTTTCCAGGTGCGCTTGGCGTGCAGCCGTAGTAATCATTGCCGGTTGAGCCGGTCAGTCTCATTAGTGACGTGTCGCGTTTCCCCGCCTGTCGAGCTGCCCTGATCAGAGAAGCGTGGCAGCGTGGGGTGGAACAGACCAGCACCCAGCGGAGGACACCGCCGCGCACAGACCATGGCCCTGGCGCGTGCTCTGCTCGGCGGGCGACGAAGACCGAGCGCCGCAAGCAACGCAAAAACGTACCATGGAGTAGAGCCGACAGGCGAGTCTCAGTCTGCCGTGAAGCCCAAGATCGGAATCAGCCCGAGAATGCCCAGGAGTGGAACTGCTGGATCTGCCGTCGGAGGGGGAGCATGCGGAGGAGAAAGTGGAGAATGAGAAAGGGAAGAAGGGAAGAGGATGAAGAGGAAGGTGGAAGGCGGAGGATGATGAGCAAGAGCAGGTCGAGGACGGAGGAGGAAGAAGGCGATGCCGACGACATTCACTACTTACCCAACCACTCCAATCCAACCCGAAGGCCCCACACGCCTTCCCCAAAAAATATTCGATTGTGGGGGTGTACGGGTTCCAAGGTGTTTTCTCAAATTTCCGGACTGTCCCACCGTTGGAAGTTCACAGGACCAACGGCGTCTTCGGGTTTGGGGGAGGAGTTGTTTTGTAGGTAGTCTGACGTGAACGAGGACGAGGAGGAGGAGGATGACGACGGCAGGGTCAACCACAGGGATCTTCGCGGATCTTTCGCTCGAAGAGCCTCTTGCAGACTTCTTGAAGCCATCGACGGTCTGTATTGGAGATTTTTTTCGGAGCCATGAAGGCGCTCTTGGAGCTTTCTTGGGGCAAGGTTAGGTGCCTTAGGGGCCCTATTGAGGCAACCTCGGGACCATCAGTGAAACAATGCGGCAGTGCAGTTGCATGCCCGCCCCACATCCCCCGTCGGAGGCATATAGATATACATATACAGATATATATATATATATATATATATATATATATATATATATATATATATATATATATATATATATACATATAACGGCGCACCGGGTCCGGGGGCCCGGGGCCGGGACCTCGACCACAAATGTGGGCCCCGGGGGGCCCGGAGGCTCGTCGGACCGCCGGACGCCGTCCAAGATCGTTCGCAGGCGGCTTCGGAACGCGCTCCGATGGCTCCAGATGCCTTCCAAGACGCCTGTCATGACACCAAGACGGTCCCAGAAGCCTCCAAGACGCTCCGAGAGGCAGCCAAGAGAGGCCCAAGAAGCAAAAATCGTGCCATTCCTATGGGAAAACGTATATTTTCGCATGTTCGCATCTTGGGCTTTCACCGCGTCCAAGACGGCCCAAGAGGCCTCCAAGACGGCCTAGGAGGCCTCCGGGAGCGCTCCAAGGCTGCGCACGAGTGGCTCAGGACGGCCCCAAGACGGCCCAAGAGAGCCCCAAGACGAGTTCGAGAGGGGTCCCAGACGGAGAAAGCCAACCTCGAATTCCGAGCTTCCGGCCCACGAGGCTCCAGGAGGCGCCAAAATGCCGCCAAGAGGCGCCACAAGGCTCCCAAAAGCACCCCAAGACGTTCCGAGAGGCACCCCAAGAGAGGTCCAAGAAACAGAAATCGTGCCATTCCTATGGGAAAACGTATATTTTCGCATGTTCGCATCTTGGGCTTTCACCGCGTCCAAGACGGCCCAAGAGGCTCCAAGACGGCCTAGGAGGCCTCCGGGAGCGCTCCAAGGCTGCGCACGAGTGGCTCAGGACGGCCCCAAGACGGCCCAAGAGAGCCCCAAGACGAGTTCGAGAGGGGTCCCAGACGGAGAAAGCCAACCTCGAATTCCGAGCTTCCGGCCCAAGAGGCTCCAGGAGGCGCCAAAATGCCGCCAAGAGGCGCCACAAGGCTCCCAAAAGCACCCCAAGACGTTCCGAGAGGCACCCCAAGAGAGGTCCAAGAAACAAAATCGTGCCATTCCTATGGGAAAACGTATATTTTCGCATGTTCGCATCTTGGGCTTTCACCGCGTCCAAGACGGCCCAAGAGGCCTCCAAGACGGCCTAGGAGGCCTCCGGGAGCGCTCCAAGGCTGCGCACGAGTGGCTCAGGACGGCCCCAAGACGGCCCAAGAGAACCCCAAGACGACTTCGAGAGGGGTCCCAGAAGGAGAAAGCCACTCTCGAATTCCGAGCTTCCGGCCCAACACATCCCAGGAGGCGCCAAAACGCCGCCCAGAGGCGCCAAAAGGCTTCCAAAATCAGCCCAAGACGTTCCGAGAGGCACCCCAAGAGAGGTCCAAGAAGCAAAAATGGTCCCATTCCTATGGGAAGACGTATACTTTTCGCATGGTCGCCTGTTGGGTTTTCACCGCGTCCAACACGTCCGAAAAGGCTCCCAAGACGGCCTAGGTGGCCCCCAAGAGCGTTCCAAGACGGTTCACGAGGCGCCCAGGACGGCAAAGTTGGACTCCAAAATGGCCTAAGAGAGCCCCAAGGCGTGCCCGAGAGGGGCCCCAGAGGGAGAAAGCCACTGTAGAATTCCGAGCTTTCGGCCCCAAGAGGCTCCAGGAGGCGCCAAGAGAGCTCCAAGAAGCCCCCACGAGAGACCCAGGACGCCCAAAGAGGCTCCAAAGGCAGCCCAAGAGAGCCCCAAGATGGGCCCGAGAGGGGTTCCACGATTCCTGGGTCTGTGACTCGACAGAACCTAAGCGCGCGCGAAGCGCGCGCGTGGTTCTAGTATATTTATATATATATATATATATATATATATTATATATAATATATATATATATATATATATATGTGTGTGTGTGTGTGTGTGTATGTAAGACTGCGTTGGCGCTTCGCGCCAGGCACATTGGTCCTTAGAGTTTGTTATGCAGGTGGAATGGCAGGAAGGTTAAGCCGACAATTCAGCGATAACTCCTTGTTGCCTTTTCCAGCATCGCCGTTATAATAAGGTGATTCATGGGCTTACGCCGCACCGCCGACCCCCTGGGACTTCTGGTAAGGCCTGGGGGGGGGGTCCTTGCAGCACTAACAATATGTCTCTCGCTATCTCGCGCGTGGTCTTTCTTGCGCACTGACCCGCCATGTCGCCGCGCCAAATTGCCGCCGGTTGCTGCGGCTTCGCACCAGGCCCACCCTCAGCAACTGGCGAACCAGCCGTCGCGCAAATCTTCATATGTTACGCGTGTATGTATTCAATGATCCTATATATACATATACATAGATGTATATATACAGATGCACATGCAATCTTATATTGTACACACACGCGTACATAACATGGGCAGGCATGCGTGCACAGAGGTGGCACTGCGCGGTGCCATTCGGCAGCGTGTTTTTGGGCTCAAGAATTGGCTCGTGGTGAGTTCATTCGGCGCCAGGTGGGCCCATCCCTTCTCAAGGGCGGAAGTGGTGAAGAAGGACGACATCCTCGGTGCGTACTGGGGCCCCGAGGATCATGATGAGGTAAGGTGGAGGAAGGAAGACATTGTCCGTCACCTCGGGCAGCATGGTTCGCCAGCAGCGAGCAGCAACGCGTGCTGTGGCCAGTCACGAGCAGATTCAAATTAGTTTTTGCGTGTGCCGGGCATGTACATATGTACACCCAGATGATACAAGGGTGTCCCCCCGCAACGCAAGAATATCATCAGAATCGCATTTGTAGCGCGTAGATTAGATGTAAGTAGCGCAAACTTGAAGTGTATATGTATGAATATACACATATAAAAAAAAACATATACATACTTAGGGGCGTCCCCCTCATATGCTGGCTGGTGGTTTTTTTTTTCCGAAGATACTGTGCAACGTCTTTGAAGCACAGGCGCATATCGGACGTCGCCGACGCATTGCGGCGAGGCTTACTCGTGCACGGAATCAAGCGTCGGCGAGTTGAGCTGCTGCGATGCAAGTATGGGGAAAGGAGGAGGCATGAGGTGGTTCAGAAAAGGAGGAGGGATTAGCGATGCAGGCCCTGTCTCTCTCTCTCTCTCTCTCTCTCTCTCTCTCTCTCTCTTTCTTTCTTTTTCTCTCTCTCTCTCTCTCTCTCTCTCTCTCTCTCTCTCTCTCTCTCTCTCTCTCTCTCTCTCTCTCTCTCTCTCTCTCTCTCTCTCTCTCTCTCTCTCTCTCTCTCTCTCTCTCTCTCTCTCTCTCTCTCTCTTCTTAGCCGCAACATTAGAGGAGGACTCCGACAAAAGCCATGCGAGGATGATCTTGCAGCGCACGGAGGCCCCACCGCGCAGGGTGGAGGTTTTGAAGCCAGTACAAACACCGCGCGTTTTTTTTTTTTTTCCCGCGGCCCAACGGGAGTGCCTCTTGGAGGTTTTGGACAGGTCGAGACCATTTTTTTAATCAAAAGAATAAGGAGAGGAGGGAACAAAAAAACGGTAGCGTCAGGATAATCGCTCCTTGCGGTCTGGGCTGGCGAGCGCGCATTCTCCATGCGGTTGGCGGCAGGGGCTCGAGGATGGCCACGCTCGTTTCGGCGGCAGATCCTGTGGCACCCAGGCCTTCCTCCGACAAGACCGCCCATGCGAATGTCGTTGGGATGCTCGGGCGTCGCTGTGGCTTCACGTTTCGATGACAGCGAATTCTCCGCAGTCCACCCCAAAGTTGCCCCAGGAGAATCGTGCCTTGCGCTCTGGGTTGGCAATGTGCCTTGCGTGCGGCTGGCCCAGGGGCGCGAGGAAGGGCGCGTTTCGCGCGGCGGCTGCTCCTATGGCAACGAAGCCCCCCTTTCCCGCACCTCAGAAAAACCATGTGCTTGTTGCAGGATTGTCCCAGCGCTGCTGTGGCTTCAAATGCCGATGGCAGGGTCGCCCCCGCAGTCCACTCCAAGGTTGCGCCAGGATCATCGCGCCTCCTGGCCTGCGTTGGAGAGTTATCTCCTTCCAGGGGCCCTGGCCCCTAAGGGGGGCCGCCGGGGGTGTTTGCACGGGCTCGTTCGCGGCCATTTTGTGGGGATGTCTCAGGCGGTTTGCTTGTTTCTGGGCTCAACATCCTTCGTTTGGAAAGCAGATTGCGAGGATGTCTCAGGCGGGGCGCTGGTTTCAGCACCCCTAAGGGGGGCCGCCAGGGGCGTTTGCGCGGGGGGGGGGGGGGAGGGGGGGCGCGAGAATGATCTCGCAGCGCGCGGAGGTCTCAGCGATCGGCGTTGGACTCTGCGAGACCGGTAAAAAAACACGTGAGTTTGTTTTGGTCTTCGGCACGACGAGCGCTGATGCGTCGCGCTGCCATGCTCGACGCAGGTCCTCCTTCAGAAACCCCCAAATGCCGAAACCGTTGCGGCTCCAGCGCGCAGCCCATGAGGGGCGTCTTTGTTTCGGCCCCCGCGGGGGTAGCGACGCGTGGGTGATGAGGCGGCGCTGGACGCCGCGTCGGCGTCGGCGTCGTCAGCCGTTGCCGATGCGCAAGCGCCCCCGACGCATGCTGCTGCCGCCGAGGATGCGTCGCTTGGCCCGCAGCCGTTGGTCACTGCGACCGCCATGGATGATGATGACAACTGGGGCACGCGGAAGTCGCCTGCAGCGGATGGGAGCACTCGCGCGGCACTGCCACGGACAGCGACGCCACAGCCGCACCCGGAGCCACAGGTAGCGCTTGCGCAGCAGCAGACACCCCAACCACAGTCAGTGCCTCCGCAGCGACAGCCGATACGAGTAAAGAGAGCGCCTTGGCACAGGCCACCATCGCTGCAGCCGTCGCCTCGGAGACAACAGGCACCTCGACCAGAGAAAGCGCACCCGCGCGATCAGCGGCAGCCGAAGCCCCCGCTGTATCCGCCACCACCAGAAATACACCCAGCGCGGCTGATCGTGGAGTTGCAGCCAACATGTCCGCAGCATCCGCCACCACAACCACAGTCAGCGCAGCCGCGCGGTGAGCTGCAGCGGGCGGTTCCGCAGTTTCCGCCAGCGCCCCCAGTGCCGCCGCCCCCAGCGCTGGCGCGGCCAAGGTCGAATTGGGCCCTGCCAAATGGGCAGCGTGGCGGGCGAGCAGAGGCGCCGTCATCAGTGCCTTTGCCAGCGCCGCCCGCGCCGCCGCCAGCTGACCAGAAGGCCCAGGGCTTCCCAAGGGCCCCAAATACACCCAGTCCTACGGAAAGGCAGCGCCCAAAACGAACTGCCGCCTCAGCATCAGTTGCAGCGGGGGCGGCAGCATCGGCAGATGCAGCGGCGGCGGCAGCCTCCGCAGATGCAGCGGCCCCAGCAGATGCAGCAACAAAGGGTTCAGCAACGGGTGCAACAACGGCAGTGGTGACAAAAGCGCTGACGTCCAGCGAATCGGCGGCGTGGCAGAGCGCCTACGCGCAGGGCTTCCAGGACGGCGTCAGCGTTGGATTCGAGCGCGGGAAGAGGAGTGGCGCCCTCGCTGGAGTGATGAAGGAGATTTAGGGTTTATGAACTCATTCGTTTTCTGGTATTCCATCTTAGGCAAGCCATACTCCTCCAATTTTCTTTTTGGCCTCTTGAGTCCTCGGTCCATGCTGAGGCCCTCCCTCCAGATATATTTGCAGCTCGTGGCGATGGCGATCGCCTTGATGAATATTGGTGAGGATGTCGAAGGTGATGGGGATATCCACCCTTGCAGATATATTGACCATCGCATTCTATTCGATATACATGGAGCTCTATTGTTAGACCCTGTAAATATGCAGCCCGTATATGGGTTGCCCTTGTGTTGTGTTAGGTGTTGTCCTTTTTCCTCTTTCCCTCTCTATCTCTCTGCTTATTATTGTGGCTACTTGTCTGAGATTGGCAGGTTTCCCCCATCTCCAGATTGCTTCAGACTCTGAACCAACTGCAGCCCAGCGAGGGGCGGCAGAAGTGGACGCGCTGGCACGGTGTAGCTCCAGGTTTACCGCCTGGGGGGGTCGAGGCCACGACGGCCCAGGTGGGGGCGCGGCGCTGCGCGGCCTCAGCTCGCACATACGCTCCCCGCGAGCGGGGGCCAGCGTGTTTCGACACGGACTTCTCCACCTCGGACGTCACCGTGGAGGCCTTCTCCGAGACGATTGCGGTGGTCTGCTGGAGCGCACAGGGCGACGGTGACTGCAGGACACTGACCCTCGCCGGCCCAGGCTCCCAGGATCGAGGCAGCGGAAACATGGATGGGTCGACGGAGATCAGATGGCACAGACATGAGCTTCTGGAGCCCCGCGCGGATTTCTTGGACTGTCGCTGGCCCCTCTTGGCGGCGCCTTCGGCGCCGCCCCTGGCGCGCTCACCGCGCCAGGGAGGGGGTCCAGCGCCGACCCAGGAAATCTGCACGGAGCTCCGAGAGGTTATGTCCATGCCGCCGGTTCCGGCTTCCATGCAGAGTATCGTCGCGCTCCGTCTCCAAACATCGGGCGGCATTGGCCTCATGTTCTGTGGGGCACTTCTTCCCCGATCTGTGGATCTGGCCCCCGCGCGCCAGACCAGCGGATCCTTGCGGCATGTGCTCGTCGCATCGACACGGCAGCGGCCCCGCCGCGACCGCTAGATATTGAACGTTGCCAGTGGCCAATATGGAGCACCGGGCGATCGAAAGGCCGCCGATTGTCGAGGGTTGACCAATCCCCGTGGTGTCAGAAACCAACGCCCAGGCGTGGTAGGAGGAGAAGGAGGAGGAGGAGGAGGAGGAGGAGGAGCAGGAGCAGGAGCAGGAGCAGGAGGAGGAGGAGGGGGTGCTTCCAAGAGGGCCCCCCCTCTGCGCGTGGCTCCTGGTGGGGGGGCCCGCGCGCCGCGCGCGCGCGCGACGCCGCGCCCGACGCGGGGGTGGCCCGACAGGACGACTTCGCCGTGGGCTCCAGGGAGCGCTTCTTCAGCGGGGAGTCCGAAGCTTTCCGGGGCCTGGCGCTGGTGCGGCTCACCGCGGCGCGCGGGCTGGTGTGCTGGGCGGACGGGGTGGGCGAGAACCGCGTGGAGTGCAGGTCGGTGGCCGTCGACGGGCCCGCCCTCGGCTACGGGGACGCGGGCGAGGTTCCGAGGAGGAAACGGTGTCGATACCGCTGCCCTTGCCTCCTCGTTTTCGTCCTTTCGGGCCTCCGGGGGGGCCCTCGTCGCCCGGGCTGGATCCGACTCGAAATTCTGGTCAGACCGCACCCCAGTAGAAGTCCAGGGAGTAGCGGTATCGGTAAGTGTTCTTGTTTCTCAAAAGAGGGGGGCATCGAGGGTTACAGGAAAGGGGCCCCAAAGGTGCACGGGAGGTGCACTACTCTCCGCCCCCCGTTTTGCTTCCCCCCATTACGCAGCGCCCGAATCAGGGGTCATGGGCAACGTTAGAGGTGGGTAGGCTCAGAGGGGGATACGTCGACTCCCAATCGCACATTCATTGCCGATAGGGGCCCGATAGCCCACACCGCCAGGGAACGTGCGGATTCGCTATCGGGTTCCTGTCGCTGGTCCATCTGGCTTCACAACTGAATCAGGAATCGTGTCATCGCCTCCATGCCAGCTACCTGTTTGGTCCGGACGGCCACGACCCCTTGCAAAATGTGCACGGAGGTGCACACGGGGGTATTACCACCCTTGTCCCGGGCACGTCTTCAGTTGACGACTTATTACTCCTCGGCCCGCCTTAACTCTGTCCCCTATTTGGGTGTGTTGTTGCGATAAGTTGGTTTCCTCATAGGTGACGGCCCTCCCCTCCCTGTACCTGACCGCGGACGCGCTTACCGAGGACGCCGCCCTCGTGTGTTATTCGGCTAGCTCGGAGGGCATCGCGACCGATCTGGCAGGCCCGCGCCACGCCGATCCCAGCCGCATCCAATTCTCGATTGTCCCCAGACGGTGTGGTGACCAGACATGTGAGCGACGCAAGAAATGGATTCGATTGCGCTGACATGTGTGCGTAAGTTCCCGCGTAGTGTCGCGCGTAAGCGCCCTCGATTCCACTGTAACATGCCGCGCTGACGTCCCGCTTAAGCTAGCGCGTAAGTTCGCTATGCCATCTCGCGGAACAAGACCCTGTTGTTTTCGTCGCTCATTCGTCGCGGGCGACTGGGGCCTCCGAGGTTCCATAATCGTGCGGTTCCAGACCTGGCGGTGAGGTCGTTGGGGAGTCCGAGTTTATTATGCGGTCCGTCACCACACGGATTTGGGGCCCGAGCGACCGTTCGCGTGGCATTTGTGTATAGAGGAATGTCAGCGGAGGAACAGGCACCGCTACCGACCGCATCACTTGCCTCGGTTTTGCCTTCTGTGCCCTCCTGGGAGGCTTTTATCGCCACGGCTGATGCCCCGCTTCCTCTCCCTCCCCCCTCCCCGCAGCCTGCGGCTGATTGCCGCCGTTGGGGCTCTGTTCTTGCGACCTGCTTCTGCTGCTTGAGCAGCGGCTTTCCACAACGCTGGGTGCAGTTCGTGTGGACGCGCCCCGTGCGTGCTCGAATCGCGACAGTGGCGTCACTTCGCAGGCGGGCGGAGGAAGAATCGTCTGCTGCCTTCCCTTCTGCTCGTCCCCGCCCCCCGCGCCCCCGGATGTGTTTTCCACCGTGCGAAAATCGGCACCTCGAGGATGGGACGGTAGTTGCTTGGACAAAAAGTGCGCGCGCCCATCGCGCCAAGACAACGTTACGACGAAGTGCATCCAAAACATCGGCAGCCCTCTCCCCCCTAAACCCAAAGTTGGCAGTGGTGCACGCGAGGCAACCCGGGAAGGACTAAATGTGGACTTTCCAAGGTTGGGCTTGGGGGAGGGGGTCACGTTACGCAAGATGTTACTCAACATCACACGATATGGTGTTCGTGCCATTGGTGTGGACACGTTTCACCCCAGAGAGGGTCGGCGGGCTCGGAGGACTTCGAAGGCAGGGGCACCTGTAACGTCGTCGGCGTGGTGCCGAACGGTTCCGATGTCGGCGCAGGCCCCCCCAACGAGGTGAACTCGGGCATCACGCAGCACATGTTCGTGGCCAGCTGCGACGACGAGTCCGCCGTGCTGTGTTATTCGGACGGCGGCGCGGGCAGCGGCAACTGCAAGGCGCTCCGCATGGCGGAGACGACCACCTCCTCCACCTCGAGCACGGAGACCACGGAGACCTCCACCACAACCGCCACGACCACCCCGCACACCACCACGGAGACCACCTCTGTCTCGGGGACCAGCACCACGTCCTTGCACACGACCTCGGCGACCTCCACCTCCTCGTCGGCCCACACCACCACCGTCACTACCACCACCGCCACCGCGACCACCAGCGACCCGGTGGAGGACTCGGGGAGCCCGGCACCTGGCTTGCTGGGAGCCTGCGTGGCGCTGCTCGCGGCGCTGGGCGTCGGGCTGCGTTGAGACGGCGCTCTTGGGAAGAAGATGAAGAAAAAGAAGAAGAAGCATCGGTGCACAGCGAGGTCGCTGGAAAAAGAGTCAGATTGTGTTCAAGAGGAGCTGAGGATTTCGGGCCATGTCTTCAGATTGAAGCCGAGGAGCGGAGAAAGAAGCTGTTCGTGGCTGGGGCTCGCCGTGGCCAGGAAGGCCCATCTTCCAGTATTCAGGGTTCCTTATGATAGGTGGGCAGAAGCTTTCGGACGTCCGTGCAGATCTCTTGGATCGGCGCTGAACCCTCGTAGCGGTGCCTCCGGCGCCGCCCGTTGCGCGCTACGCCCTGGCGCGCGGAGCGCGCCACGAGGCGTCGCCAGGGGGGGTCCAGCGCCGATCCAAGAGATCCGCGCAGACCTCCGACAGTTGATGTTTATGCCGGTGCATCTTCTCCTATCGGGGGAACGCAAGACCCGAGTAAGCTGGAACTCGGGTTTGCCGACGTTTTTTTGACGAGCGCGTCCTGGATTTTGACGGTCCAGTTTTCGTGGGATGTCTGCAGCGGGAGCTCGCGTCAAATTACAGATGGGCCTCGTCATTTTTATGATGGCCCCGTCGGGCCAACCCGAGTCCCCCGCACCCGAGTCTTACGTCTCCCCGATCCTAGCTCTGCGATCAGACAGGAACTTCATATTGCCGGCTAGCCACATGCGCTTTGCAGGCATCGGATCATAAGCGGAATGGATCGAAACGATCTTTCCGTATGGCAGTCGTCCCCAGCCGTGGGTCTCAAAGAAGTCCCAACCCTTCAATTGGCATCCATGTACGGTAACACCTGATTACCAGCTAGGCGGATGTGCTTCGAAGTTAAGGTCATGCGCGGCAGTGATCGAAACGATCGTTCCGCACGGCTGTCGCCTCTAGCCAAAAAGTGGAGGCACGCATCAAGAAACCAAATGCTTCGACAGGGTACCCAGGGTTTCTTCGCTCCGCGCGCTGCGCGGTGACTTCCTGCGGTTCAGGGTGCTCTGGGTTCCCCCCAGAGTGCGTCTCGCGCACGGGTTTTCAGGGCGGGGTTTCGTGCGAGGGCCTCTTGATGTCTCTTGCAGCCGCGTCCGCGCTGTATCCTCAGCGGGTCTGTCACCAGGGCGGTGCCACTGGAATTGGAAGGGAAATAATGCAACGCCTCTCCTTCTACCTCCGCCTTCCCCACCACTTTTCTTCGCATGTCTGAAGGACTGCGCCCTGTGCTGCCACCCCCCCTTGTCCGAGCCGTACTGGGGCTATCTCGGGGCCGTGTTGGGTAATCGTTCGACGTTGGGAGTTCTCTTCCGGGCCTCCAGGGGCAATCTTGGGGCCATCCCCTCGCCCCCCCCCCCCCGCCCAAGATCCGCTCAGGACTAGTCCTGGGACCCCATCCGGGGTTCCACGCCGGCCAGTTTTTCGAGCCCTCTCGAGCCGCGGCGACGGGAACCTCCAGAATTGCCCGACGACGAAGACGACGTCCTTAAAGGCCCTCCGGGGTATCCTCTTGATCCTTACTTCTGGCACCTACCCCCAATGCGTAGACTTCCGCGCGATCTGGCTCTGTCACTCTGGCTTCAAATCCCATTTCGCAGATAAGACGCCAAGCGGAACGTGCATTCAGGTCGCCTGCGCGGAACTCACTGCCACGAACATTGATGTGCAGACGTCCGTCCAGCATCAACGACCACGCGTTGTGTCCTCTGGATCCTTCGGGGGCCCCGTCCTGGAGATCTCAAGGCCCTGGGGCCCCGTCTCGGCTCCTGTCCCCCTCTTCGTGCCTCCGCCCGTGCCTGTGCCAGAGAGGTACTGTACACCTTAGGCGATGCTTAAGAAAACTTACTTTTTCGGCCAGAGTCTCGATTATTCTTAACGTTTCAATGTAAATCCTAAGACTTTGATAGAAATTGTGGGTTTTTATTCAAGTTCTGAGACCATGAATTTCTTAACCCATGATTTCTTAACCATTTCGCGTGGTGTACTAGCCCATTTTGGGTTCAAAGATGATGTTTGTGCTGAGGGAAACAGGTCTCTCCTCGCTCTCCCCAATCCCTCTCGACCGTGATCTCGATAGTCAGAGACAATGCTAAGCGGAGCAGGTATCGAAGAGCAGCCAGGAGACCATACCCCGAGCGCGACAGCAGCACACAACGACGAGCGACGCCGAGACCAGCCGACGCAGACCGAGGAGAACGAGCCCGCAAGGGATCCAGATGGTTGGTGGAGAGACGAGTGGTGGAATCAGAACTGGTGGTCATCACGAACCTCTCGCGGTGCCTGGTACGCCGACGGAGTAGACAGGGACTGGAGTGAGCAACATTACTCCAGGGGAAGTCCTGGGATGAGTAGTGCAGTGCCGAAGTCAATCGTGATTTTGGTGCTCCACCGGTATGGCTAGGCTACGAGCACCTTGACTTGTTCCGCGCCAATCTCAGATCCTAGGTGTCCAGGACCGAATTCACGGAAGAAGTGCAGGCTGGAAAAGTATTGGAATCTTTGCTGGTGGACATACAGGCGAAGTTCAAGTTCGTGAGGTCGTCGCTCAACGTCTCAGGGGGGATAGAGAAGCTCCTCGACCACCTAGCTATTCTGAACGGAGAGCGCCCAGGGGACCGAGAGCGCGAGGCCCAGAACCTAGCTTCGTTCGGCTTGCAGCTGAGGCGCGGGGAGTCACTGACGGACTTCGCAGTGAGACGAGACGCCCAGGTTGCCGAGGCGGAGTCGCAGGGCCCGACGGTGCCCAACGATATCAAGTTTCGTTTTTAAAGGGAAGGGACCAGTTTTTGGGGCGCAGAATAAGATCAACCTCGTGACGTCGGCGAATGGGCGCAGAGACTCCTGGACGTCAAGGAGAAGGGGGCCCTGCCATCTTCCTCGTCGGCCAGCGCGGCCACCTACTTGGACGAAGTCGATGACTCGCTCGAGTTGCTGGATGAGGGCGCTCAGATTTCCCTGGAGTCCCTGGGCAGTCAGGGCATGGGCGAGACCGACCTCGCGCCAGCGCTTGCAGCGGCAATAGAAGAGAAGTGGGGAAAAGAAAAGAGACGCACGTGGGCAGAAGCTCGACAGCTCCAGGCCAGTCGCAGAGTGGATTGAGATGTCTCTGATCGACGAAGGGGGCTCTGAGCCCGGCCTGCGCCGCATCGCGCCTGCCGACCTGAAGAAGAAGACGCGCTGCTGCGCGCGCAGACGAAGCGCGACATCCTGACGGGGCGCGCGCAGGCCGACCAGCAGCTGCGCGCGGCGCAGAGCAAAGCGCCAGGTGCGCCGCAGGCCCAGGTCAAATCCCGCGACCACTCCCACCGCGGGGACGCGGATCTCGCCAGTCCGCGGATGGCCGCCCAGCCCCGCAGAGACCGACAGAGGGCCGGGTGGCGCAGGGCAGAGTGGGAAGTGCAAGGCCAGGGAAGAGTTGCCGAACAGAGGGCTGCCGCATCGGTTGCGCCCGCGACTTCTCCCTCGGAGCCTCCGAAGACGCGGCCCCAGTCGTCGTCTGCCGCTGTCGGCCTGACGGGCAGCTCAGAAGCAGAGACGCTGAGCTACCGTGACAGTGGCAGGGCGACCCCCCTGCCCCCCAGAATTGCGACGGTGCCGATTGGGAGGGCAAGGTCTAGGATGCCGAATTCACGATTGCGAAGGACTGGTCTGCGCCGCCCCCGAGCGCTGACAGGCAGCCGGAGCGGAAGCCGCCGGCAGCCCAGAGGCGCGCGAAGCGCGCTCACATGAAGAAATCAAGGAAGGCTGCAAAAGAGGCTGCTGAGACCGCGCCGATCGCAGCCTGAAGCTTGCCCTGCCTCCCTCTACAAAAATGAAGGATGAGGTTGGCGACCGGCCCCGTCTATCCCAGGGCATCTCTCGTCTTCGCTCCTCTTGTCGCTTCTATCATTACTGTCATCTGGCTCGCGCGCGCACTGATTGCTTCCGCCGCCATCCGGGCGCGGGGCCCTCGCGTCGCGCTCGCCCCGCAGGAGAGGGGCGGGCCGCTCTGCCAGCCCGGCTGGGCGCGCGCCGCCGCGCCGCGGCAAGTGTTTGATCCCTCCTCACCGCGACGGCCTCCCTTGGCGCCCTGGGGCTCCCTGGGGCCGTTTTCGGGCCGCATTGAGCCGTCTTGGGGCTCTTTTTGGGGCCTCGTGGCGGCCCGCCCCCGACGAGACTAAGAAGGCGAGCGTGCTGAAAATGTGCGCCCCCCAAAGGGAATGGGGCAATGCGTGCGTACTGGGCTTCTCTCGGCGTTTCCCGGGGCGCGCTCCTGGGCCTTCCCGAAGCCGTCTTGGACCGCCGTGGGGGTGCCTTGGGCCGTCTCGACGCTCCCTGGGACTGTCTTGGCGCTGCTGCGCGGATGCTCTCGGGCTGTCTAAAGGCTCCTCGGAGGCCCCGGCGACCCCGATGGGGGGCGCCGGGTGGCCCAGAGCCCCTCCCGCGAATGCGATTTTGCACCCCGGGGAAGGGGGGAAGGGGGAGGGGGGCAGCCAAGTGCGTCGCGCACCTCTCTTCGCCCCCAGCGCGCGAGGGTCGGCGGACTCTGACGAAGCATTTGCTGCCGTTCCCAGTCTGGATGGATGCTTTCCCGCGGCGTGAACTCATCGCGGGGCCCCAGTGCCCCCCCGAGCTCGAACGCCTTCGTGAACGCGTTGGGCTCTGAATCCAAATATCCATCGCGATTGGCGACGAATCAGCGCGCGCCAATATAATTTCCAGGCAAAGATCTGCAAACACCTACGGGGAACGCGCTGTTGAGGCATATCAGCTGATCAGCTGGATGGGAGAATTCCTGGACCTCGGCATATCTACTACGCGCAGCGGCGTGGCACCCGAGACGCGGCGGCGGATGGTCACGCCAAGGGCACTATCGACCGCGACCTGTTCTTGCAAGCCATGGCCAGTTATCAGAGCTACACGCGCGACGTGAAAACGCCCGCGCCGCATGGAGGCGACAAACATCCCATCGCCGACGCATGGCCGCAGCGGCAGCTCACCCGCCTGAGTGGGCCCCAGAAGTCGGGCGAATCATTCGGCTGCAACCTCTCACAGAGGGAGGGGGCCCTCCTTGCTGGCCCCGCGCTGGGGTTGCGGACCCGCGACTGCTCAAGGTGTGCACGTTTCCGCGCTATTTTTGCACCTCCTTCATTGCGCGCTGTCGGCGCGGAGCCGCGACTTCATCCAATGCATGTGGCGCCTGTGTGGGAGCAGCCCTCATCGGTCATTTGTCTGGCTTTCAGGACCGACCCCCTGGTCCGTCTTGCTCAAGCTGCAATAATCAGCCCCCCTCTGCCCCACACACGTTGGTACCAAGGCGCTGGGTTCAGGAAGCATGACCTAACTTCGCGCACCCTCGTTTGCGATGTAGTGCGTGCTGTTTCGATTGCGCCAGCGCTGTCTTGAGCCGACATGCAAGGTGGCGACGGTCGAGACACGCCCTCCCCCCACCCCACCCCCTTATCGATTGCCAAGGCCTTACGGCAGGTGCCGCCGACACTGAAGACGACGAAGATGAAAACGAGCGGGGGGGGGGTAGGAGGCGGAGGAGGAGGAGGAGTGTGGGGGGAGAGGAAGGGTGGACGAGGTGGATGAGGGAGGAGGAACGGGGGAAGAAGGATGATGATGATGATGATGATGATGATGATGATGATGATGATGATGATGATGATGATGATGATGATGATGATGATGATGATGGTGATGGTGATGGTGATGATGCTGATGCTGATGCTGATGCTGATGCTGATGCTGATGCTGATGCTGATGCTGATGCCGATGCCGATGCCGATGCCGATGCTGATGCTGATGCTGATGCTGATGCTGATGCTGATGCTGATGCTGATGCTGATGCTGATGCTGATGCTGATGTTGATGTTGATGCTGATGCTGATGAGGAGGAGGAGGAGGAGGAGGAGGAGGAGGGGAGGGAGGAGGAGCAGGAGGAGGAGGAGGAGGAGGAGCAGCAGCAGCGAGAGGAATGCGGAAGAAGAGGAGGAGGAGGAGGAGGAGGAGGAGGAGGAGGAGGAGGAGTGGGGGAGCAGCGAGAGGAAGCGAGCAGGAGCAACCAATTCTGGTGGCCTCGGCTCTCGACGGAAATGGGAGGGAGAGGGCAGGGACAAAACCTTTCTGAAAATTACTGAATATGGCCTCTGGGCGAAAGTCCTTGTGGGGCTCTTCTGACCCGTCTGATGGCCCCATTTGGCCGTCGCTAGGAACCCTCCCCCCCGCCAGGACGGATCAAAGGGAAGGGACCTCCCTTCGACTCAATGACAACGTTGTTAATTTCGTTTTGGCTGGGTTGTGAAAGAGAGGGGGGAGCGGCGACGGATCCAGAAAAACTGACGACGAGTACGTACGACGACAACAACGACGACGAACAACGCATTCCACACGCCAACAGGGTCGGCGGATTTTGAGGGAATGCCCCGAGGGGCGTTCTACCACGTCGTTTTCCGCCGCCGCATTGGCTCAAGGTGGCGCCGCCCTATCTGCCTACGCGGTTGGCGTTGTCAGCTGCGTGCAGTTTGCGGCGCTGGGCAGGAACGAGGCATCTTCCCTGACCCATCGTCGCCATCGCACTTCCCACCTGTACCCTACTAGCTCAACATGCGAAGGCATTTTTCGTTCAAACTAGTGTGGCACAGTGTTCGAGACAACAACTTCGGTTTGAGGCAAATTAGCGGAACGCCGCCGTGCCATATGGGACAACGCAATGTTTGACAGCAACAAAAGAAGCTTCAGGGTTGGGATCCATGTTCCGAACATTGAGCAACGAATTGGTGGACACTCTACTTCGCTCCACAAGGGCACGGTGGCGGACTTGATGGCCAGAACCGAGGGCGGTTCCTGCTCAAGTTGATCGGTCGCTTGAGACTCCTCCGGAGATTCTGGCAATCCATCGACGGTTGGACAACAGATGTACTGATGTAGGGCAGATGAAGGTTACTTTGATTTCTGAAGGGAATCGCCGTTTTACGCAGCCCCCCCCCCCACGTCAAATTGTTTCCATGGCCGCCCTTGGTCGGTAGATTGGTTTGTTTTCTGGTCGGTCGGTTGGCTGGCAGGTTCAGCTGATTGGTTTGTTGAGTTGGTGGTTGGCAGTTGATGGGCTGAGTGTTGGTTGGCTGGCTGTGCGCTTCTCGTGATTCGTAATAGTGGTGGCTTCGGGCCGCTTCGGGAACGCTGGCCCCTGGCTGTTTCATTATATTCGTGGCCCCAGGTCCAGGGTCGAATTTTCAGAAAATGGCGGCGGTGACCGAACACGTATCCTACTACATATCAGCCAGCGTTGATTCCAAACAGATAGGAGGAGAGGAGGAGGACGAACGGAGGATGGGAGGAGGACGAAAGGAGGACGGGAGCAGGACGGGAGGAGGACGGGAGGAACGACATCAAGCAAACGCAAGCAAGCAAGCGGACGCAAGCAAGCGCAAGCGAGCAATAACAAGCAAGCGAGAGCCAGCGATCAAGTGCAAGCAGGCAAGGGCAAGCAAGAGCAAGCAAACGAGAGCAAGAACGCAGGAGCAAGCAAGCAAGCAAGCAAGTGCCATTGGAAAAAGGGGAGCATTCGAAAAAGAGGGGGTGCTAAAGACCAGCTACTTATGATGACCTCGCACTCATATATGGCAAGCCTATTTGAAGAAACACGCCAGTTGTCTGTTCGGGAGAAGGGGTGGCGCTTTGGGGCAGCCTCCGCGGGGTGGGTTCGAGGCCCCAGGAACGCGAGCGCGCCGTGATGCACGAGGGATTGTCGCCTCGAGAGCGCGGGTCAACAGAACTTTGATGTGTGGCTTCGGGAACGCGAGCCAATGGTAATTTACAGAAGGCGTTGTGGCCTCAGGGGCGCGAGCCAATAGTACGTTACGGAAAGCTGTGGGCGCGATCTATTCAATATGAGATTGTGTTCTCGGGAGCGCGAGCCGGTCATAAATCATAAACGGATGTGGCATCAGGAGAGCAGACGCGTTGTGATGTGCCAAAGTGGCCTCGGGAGCGCGAGTGTGGCCTCGGGGGTGCGCATCAGTAGTAATTTACGGATGGGTGTGGAGGCGCCATAATTAACAAGATAGTGTGGCGTTGCCGTCGTAATTCGCAAAAGATTTGTGGCATCGGCAGCGCAGGCGCTTTGTGTTTCACGAGGGACAGTGGCCTGGGAAGCGCGAATCCAATATACTGAACGAGGGAAGGTAACCTTGAGAGCTCGAAACCGTCGTATTATCGCCTCGAGAATGCGAAGTTATAGTATTTCTACGTGTCCCCCCTGAAGTTCGGAAAACCCCCAGCGGGCATAAAAAATCGGGCCAGAGTCATTGCGTGAATTTCAATCATTCTATCACTGGAACGAGAACGCAAGAACTCCAGGACTAGAGTTGGAGAGCTGGAACAAGTGCTTAGAACAGACCCCCCTACGCCTCGCAGCCTGTTTGACCCTGAGCGGGCTGGCTGATTTCTTTCCCTTTCCCATAGTTGGCGCCAGGGGAAACGGAAAGGTAGTTTCATCCAGGCCAGTTGGTTCGACCCGCATTTTGGCGGCCGACCATGGGGTTACAGCCGCGGGCCGCCGCACATGACGCCTGACAATTTCCTGCAACATGGATACCGTGCACTTTTCACTTGAAACTTCTGGGAATCATTTGCCGCACAAGCGCGTTTCCAATAGGCAAGACGCGGTTCAAAACGAGGCTCTCGCCTGGATGGCAGGTCCATGGGGCGCTCGTCTTTCAAGGTGGTGCTTCCCTTCGCTTCTTCCTCCCCCTCGTTCCTCTCCTCGTCCTCCTGCGAAGGCTTCACGCCATTGCTATTTTACGCGGTGATTGACGAAGCTCGGAAAAGTCGGTCTTATTTCAGTTATAGGTTTCGCTGCATGTTTGCTTGCAGGGACATGTGGAAAGGGATTTTCGACATTCTTGGGACGGGAGACGGAGTTGCAGCATCATGGATGCATCTTGGGTGTAGTACTGTGGTCCTTCTGCTCTTCCCCCCTTCTACTCCTTCCTTGCCTGCCTTTCCTGCGGGCTCCCTCCTCCATCCCTCGTCTAGGTAACTCCTCCGTGCCGCAACGTCAGCGTTTCTGGAGATCCATTCTGGGCACGCTGGAACCGCTACTTGGGATGGGCATCCAGTCCAAGGTAAGGCAAGGGGTCGGGAAACCCCTAGGGAACATGTGGCGAACAAAGCCATGACGTGGGATCCCATCATCCTCGAACTCCTCTTCCTCCCCAGATAACCCAAAACCTTCAACATTGAGATGTATGATCGAACCGTGTCCGGAAAGAATTGGGACGACCTGCAGGAAGTCTTGCCCGTATTGAACAGGACTCGCTGTCGGCGTCGTCGCGGATGTGGTCCAATTTGAGACAAGACGTCGCTTGCCCATTTCTGACGTGCCAGATGGAGACTCCGACTTCCGTTCTGGATATTATCTCCTCTGTTCTTGGCGCGTTGTTCCCTTTTCATGCCAAAGGTTTTCTGAGACTTTCAAATCTCTGGATCCTCCTTCCCCCCTGCGCGCGCTTCCGCAGGATCGAGGAGGCCGCAAGTCTCGAGACAGAGACGGTCAAGACAAGGACGCGGGGCACATTTTGCGTTCATGGGAGAGGACGGTTGCGAATACACTCTCAGTGCCTCAATGGTTTGGCCCCCGCGGAACACAAGGGCCCACGAGGGCCCCCCCCCGACTACAAGGGCCCCCCTCTGGACTGCAGGACTTGTCCCTGGGACTGCGGACTACCAGGGCACCCCTCCCTGGACTGAGTGAATGCAGGTGCTACGAATTGCCCCATGCACGCGCGTGGGATTCCGTGCGCGCGCGCGAAGTCCACGCGCATTGCGTTCCTCTCGGGCGGAGTTCCGCGCGGGGGGCTGTGAAGGCTTCCGCCGCGCACCCAGCTCGACCCAGCAACACCCCCAGACTTCAGGACGCCCCCAATACTACAGGGGCCCCCCCCTCGGACTACACGCCCCCCCCCTGTTCCCGCCCTCCTCCTCCTCCTCCTCCTCCTCCTCCTCCTCCTCCTTCTCCTCCTCCTCCGCCCCCCAGGCTATAGGGACTCCACCCCCTGGGACCCAGGACTACGGGCCACGAGCTATTGAGGCACTCACGGTACAACCAGACACTTGGCGGATAAAGTGTTCTCCGTTCGTTTGATTTTTCGTCGATTTCGGCCCCGGGGCCAACAACAATGGATACAGGAGGGCACGTTGCCCCCAGGGAGCCCAGAGGATCCAAGACTTCATTTTAGACGTCGCGCCTTCCCTCCAGGAGGAAACACACACCCGACATAATGGACGAAACATCGCTTACATAATGGGTGTCGGACCTCCCTTTCGAAGTGTTCCGATCTTGCGGGACAGGGCCGAGGTTCTTCCCGCGGACTGGAGCAAGCAAGTGATGCTTGGGGCCCTGACAGCTTGTGATCAATGAGTGGCCCACCCTTGTTTTTGAACAGAGCCCGCGGGACGTGACACCTTGGTTTTGGACCACGCGCGCTGGAGTCGCAAGACCGCCGTGGGCGAGAGGAAGCCACGCGCCGCGCCGGAGCGGGATCAGACGTGCACAGCGCGGCGTGACGCAAACTGGCACCCTGTCTCCATGTCCAGCTGCCTCCGGCAGTTCCGCCACCGTGCCAGCGCAGCATTTTTGGTGGCAGTTGCTCGAGAAGGCAAGGAGGCCTGCAGGGGGCCTCTTGGGGCGGAAGGCTCGAATTCGCTGTTCGTTGTACCACTCTTGGGCCTTTCTTGGGGTCGTCTTGGGGCCCTCCTGGGCAGTCGTGGGCGCCTCTTGAGCGGTCTTGGAGCCCTGTGGGGCCGTCTTGGAGCTCTCTCGGGAGGTCCTCTTGAGCATTCGGGGGCGCCTCTTGGGCCCCGTCTTCGAGCCTTCCTGTTGGGCCGTCTTGGGGACCTCTGGGGCCGTCTTGGGGCAGTCCTGGTGGCACCTCTTGGGTCGTCTTGGGACGTCGGACGCTCGAAAAGGTCATGACCTGAAACACGTAGAAAAACCTAGGTAACATCAGTGGATTTTGCCTCTCGAGGCTCTCTTGGGAAGGCTCTTGGGGCTCTCTAGGGACGCCTCGACGGCTTCGTGGGCCGTCTTGAAGCAATCTTGGGCTGTCTTGAGGCCAATGTAGCAAGTCTTGGAGCGATATTGGGCCGCCTTGGAGGCATCCGGGCCTCGGGAGCGCGAACCTGTGGAAGGGAGGCGGTGCGCGCAGCGAAGTGCGGCCGGGACGGGGGGGGGGCCCTGGAAAATGATGGATGAAATCCGACCAGATTGATTGATTGATGATTGATTGATTGATTGATGATTGATTGATGATTGATTGATTGGAAATTGATTGATGATTGATTGATTGATTGATTGATTGATTGATTGGCACTCTTCCACGCCCCAACGTGCACGAGGCACGGTGGCGCATATAGCGGTGCGTGTGCGAAGCCCCTGCTCTCGCGGTTGCGCGGTCTCCCTTCGGTCGCCCTCGCGGCTTGTGTTTGCAGGGAGCTCCCCTCGCGCCAGCCCTTGTTCGCGATGCGAAAGCGGTGTCGGCAGACCGCGCACCCCGAGCGGGGCTATCGGATTGCATCCTGTGTCATTGCCCACAGAGCAAGCCTGATCACACTTTGGGTTCATTCGGGGCCGTCTGATCAAGAGGAGGCCTGCGTCGGCAAGGTTGGGCATCGGCTAGCTGTTGGCCGAGGTAGAGGCGGCTGCGTTAAGCAGCATTTTCTGGTACGACCGATACGGGTACGGAAATAATGGAGGCGAACACAGACAGTACTGCCTGCCTGTTGTGAGCAGGACTCGCTGTCGGTGTCGCCGGGCGTTGTCCATCTAGGCCGACAAGCCGCCTGCCCAACAGCAACCGCCGTTCATGTGACAACGTGTGCTACTAGGCATCGTACCCGTTTTTTCCGTACCCACTGCGGGCGTGGCCCTTCCCCCCCTTTCAACTCCAAAGTGGGAGATGGAGATGAGCCGAAGTCGTGATGTCCAGCGCCAGCCTTGAAATCGGGGGGGGGGCTTCACACCTCATCTGCGGTGTTGCTTCACTGCCTCCGACGCCTGCAGGGACAATATTTCCCAGACTGGAGCAACAAGAGCCTCCGAAACGACGACATCGTCTGGTTCCTGCGCGTTTCCGGGGGCTTTCGTGTCCACGGAGGACGAGGCTCGGAAAGTTGGGCTGGATGGACCCCTGAAGGGGTCCAGGGATTGGTCCCGGGCGGGCTTCGGCCAGGGGGGCGGGGCGAGGGGGGCGGCCTTCAGAGAAGGCGCCACGGAGCCACTTCTGCCTTTCGCGACAAGCTCTCGGAAGCCCCCGATCCCCTCAGAAGGCCCACCGCCCCCCCCTGCAGCGCGCCGCCGCACGGGAGAACGAGAGCCTCCAGCATGGAGGGGTCGAGCCCTCCGCTCTGCAGGCTCCTGAGCCTCTGGGCCCGTGGCTCACCTGCTCTGCCCGGGGGCAGGTGCCAGGCACGCCAGCAGAGCCCCCCAGAGGCACAGCGGCAGTCGGAGCCGGCGTCGTGGAGCCACTCAGTCCTGCCTGGCCTCCAGGGGGCCTGGCTGCTTGCCCGTCTGGCTGCTCGCCTGTCCGGCTGCTCGCCTGTCGGGGGTGGACAGAACCCCAACAGTGACACGTCGATTAGTGAAAAATGCACGGGTAATGGACGTCCGAGCGACGGCAAGGCCCCGCGTTCGCCTCGTGTTGGGCTTCCCGGGGGGTCCCTCGTGGCGGCCACGGCGGGCTTCGCTTCGAAGTGCTGGTCAGACCCGCGCCCTTTCAGAGGTCCAGGGAGCGGCTCGGGGGTGGACAGAACCCCAACAGTGACACGTCGATTAGTTAATTGTCCGTTTTCGGTTTCCGAGAGGGCGCCGTGGCCGTTATTTTCCAGGCCTGCGCCCGCCAGGTTTGGGCCTCAGGTCGTTTTCACTACACCACGTTTTGCTAAAGGGGGGTCTGTCCATCCCCGAGACAAGGGAGGGCAGCAGTATACTTCGACGTGCCACAGTTCTGGATCGGAGGTGGATCGACCTCCGCTCTGGATCGGAGGTGGACAGACCTCCTACCCTGACACGTCGAGTAAGGAGTTGGCCGTTCTCGGTTCGCGAGGGGGCGTCGCGGCCGTCATTTCTGCGGGTCCCGGTCCGTCGGTTTCGGTCCCAGGCCGTTTTCATTAAGGAGAGGTTTACTAAAGGGAGGTTTGTCCACCTCCGTCCTAGAGGTCGAAGCGCCACTTTGAAGGAGGACGACAAGGGAGGGCAGCAGTATACAGAAGCGAAGCATCGAACCTCCATTGTGAGGGCTCCTGGTCCTCCAGGACGGCTCTGGGCTTGATGCCACACCCCGCTTGATAGGGAGTCCACGGGAACACCTCCGTACTGGAGGTCGAAGCGCCACTTTGGAGGAAGACGACAAGGGAGGGCAGCAGTATACAGTCGGAAACTGGAACATATACATTACCAGTGGCGGGTTGTTTTTTCAATCCCACGACTTCCTGAGGGTCGGGGACGACGTCGGGGTGGTGTGGTGTATACCTGTCCCCCCTTTTCCAAGGGGACAACGAAAAATGTATACACCAGGATCCCGTATACACCAGGATCCGCGTTCCTGTGCGAGTTTCAGCGCAGGGTCGGAAAAAGCGTCAGTGTATAGAGTTCGTTTCCCTCCACCGAAGCGAAGCATCGAACCTCCACTGTGAGGGCTCCTGGCCCCCCAGGACGGCTCTGGGCTTGATGCCGCACCCCGCTTGATAGGGAGTCCACGGGGACCGCCTGCGATCCGATTCGATGCGGCTCGATTCGCCGCATGGGGCCACGATGCCGATTCGATTCGGTTCGGTTCACCGGCACCGGCCGGGGTCGGCCTGATCCAGGCGCGGCGATCCGATCTCGACTCGACTCGGGACGATCCGCTGGCGATCCAATCCGTCTCCGATCCGACCCGAGTCCGGGACCTCCTCCTCCTCCTCCTCCTCCTCCTCCTCCTCCTCCTCCTCCTCCTCCTCCTCCTCCCCCCTCCCGCCCTCTTCCTCCTCCTCCTCCTCCTCCTCCTCCTCCTCCTCCTCCTCCTCCTCCTCCTCCTCCTCCTCCTCCTCCTCCTCCCGACCCAGCTCGGGCTCGGCGGGGTGTGCAGGCTCGAGGCCGCGGCGAGGCCGGGAGGGGGGGGGCGAGACTGGCCCCCGCTCCCCAGACCTCCCACGTTTCTCGGCATCGCTCGGACGTGTGCATTTTTCTTTCGGCGAGGACCTTCGAGGAGCATCCTCGACCATTTGGCGAAAAAACCACGCACGAAACCGAACAAAAACACAGGAAATGGACGTCCGAGCGATGGCCAGGTTTGGGTTCTTTCAATAGTGGATGATTGATGGAGGGCCCACCCGTCCTCTCTCTCTCTCTCTAAGGGGGGGAACGACGCTCACGGCGGCGAAAGACTTGCTTTCCTTTCCCCTTCGGCACTCTGACCCCAGCCGGCGTTTCAGAGTGCCCGTTATGATTCGCGTGATGTCGAGAAACGCGGCTCCGAAGATCGTGGGCCATTGGGCCCACAGGTGTTGTATGTGTGTTCTTGGACTCACTTTGCGGGGTCCCTGGAGCTCTGTGCCACTTCCTGGGAACCCGTCTTCGTTGTTCCCCGGTCCAGAGGACCAGCGAGGCCCCATGCGCGGTAAAACTTCCGTCTTCTTGGCATCGCTCGGACGTGTGCGTTTTTCCTTTGGCGAGGGCCATCGAGGAGCATCCTTGACCATTTGGCGAAAAAGCCAGGCACGAAACCGAAAAAAACACAAAAAATGGACGTCCGAGCGATGGCGAGGTCTTGGTGTTGCTCAAAGCGTCGGAGGTCTGGCGTCCGCGCCCCGCGGGCGCTCTCTCTCTCTCTCCGCCGCGCACCTCCGCGGCCGCGCCCAGAAGCCCTCCGCGGACGACGCTGCGCCGAAGAGCGACAAGGCCGACGCGAAGGCAGACAAGGCCGACGAGGCCGACAGGGCGGCGGACAAGGCCAGCGAGCGGCGCCCGGCCAGCCGGCGGCGGCACATCCGTCGGGCGTCTCGCGGCGTGTGCCGGTGCCGCTGCCCTCGCCCCGCGTTCGCCCTGTTCGCCTAGACGTAAGAGTGACCTTTCGCCGGAGTGGCCTTTGGTGCGGGCCACGTGGGGTCCCCCGATCGCCGCGCTCGTTGCGATATCAGCGTCTTGCGCGCTTGTGTTTGGCCTCCTCGCGCCCCCCAAAAAAGCCGCGCACCAAAGGTCACTCTTACCCAGGGTCACTCTTACGTGCAGCCGACTCGTGTTGGGCTTCCCGGGGGGGCCCTCGTGGCGGCCACGGCGGGCTTCGCCTCGAGGTGCTGGTCAGACCCGCGCCCTTTCAGAGGTCCAGGGAGCCCTTGGCATCGCTCGGACGTGTGCACTTTTTTCTCGGCGGGGACCATCGAGAAGCATCCTGGACCATCGGGCCAACAAAACACGCAGGAAACCGAAAAATGCACAGGGAGGGGGCGTCCGAGCGATGGCGAGTCCAGGGAGCAGCGGTGTCGTCACTCTTCGTTTCTCCACAGTGGCGGGAGGGTCGTCGGACAGAGCGTCGGGTATGCCGTTGGGTAGGGCGTCGGGTTGGGCGCGGGCGTCGGCAAGGCCGTCCCGTGGGGCGTCCCTACAGTCGGGTACTGTGACGGGCATGGTGCCGGGGGGATCGAGGGTTGCAGGGAAGGGGCCACGAGTGGGCCGTTGGGTCTGCCCCCCCCACTGCGCGCTGCCCGAATCAGGGGTCGGGGGCAGCGCTTGGAGGGGGATGGGCTCAGAGCGGGGCGCATCGACGCCCATGCGCCCACTCCTCGCCAGCAGGGGCTCGAAGGCCCACGCCGCCCAGGAGCGAGCGGATTCGCCCACTCCTCGCCAACAGGGGCTCGAAGGCCCACCCCGCCCAGGAGCGTGCGGCTTCGCCACGGGGGACCTGTCGCCGATCTGCCGGCGACGTCTCCTCGAGCCCCGCTCGACGGTCTCCTCCCCCGGGCGGGCCCCCCCCGGAAGGGAGGCCGCGGCGGTGGGGGGTGGGCGGCGGCCTCCGGGCGCGGCGCCCTTGCCTCTCGGGGCGCCCACCTGCCGCCCACCCCTCTGCCTGGAGGAGGGGCGGGCCCCCCCCCCCCCGAGGAGGGCCCCACCCCCCCCTCTCTTCTGGAGGAGGGGCGGGTCCCCCCCCCCCCCCCCCCCTCCCCCTGGAGGAGGGGCGCCCCCCCCCCCTTCCCCACCCCTCTCTTCTGGAGGAGGGCGGGTCCCCCCCCCCCAGCTCTGCCTGGAGGAGGGGCGGGCCCCCCCTCTCTTCTGGAGGAGGGCGGGTCCGTCCCCCCCCCCCCGGGAGGCATTCGTACTACGAGGCTGGTCTCGCAGACTTCGGGCGAAGAGAACTATACTTGGCATCGCTCGGACGTGTGCATGTTTCCTTCGGCGAGGACCATCGAGGAGCATCCTTGATCATTTGGCGGAAAAGCCACGCACGAAGCCGAACAAAAATCACAGGGGATGGACGTCCGAGCGATGGCGAGCTGCCTGGAGGAGGGGCGGGCCCCCCCCCCCTGGAGGCATTCGTACTACGAGGCTGGTCTCGCGGACTGCGGGCGAAGAGAGCTATACACGTGCACCGATCCTGGCAAGGCCCGTCCTTGACCCAGGATCGGTGCATATACCTTCCTGGCCAAGGCAGCGGGCGTATGCACCGATCCTGGGCTCAGGATGGGCCTGGCCAGAATCGGTGTATGTGCATAGTTCTATTTCCTCTAGGACTGGGGGGCTGTATTCGTGTGCGTGGTTGGGTGCATACGTCCCTTGTGGGTTCCCTACGGAGGCCTTCTTGGAGGAGAGGCGGGTGCCCCCCACCCCCGCGGAGGCCTCCCCCCGTGCCTTTCCGACGCCCTCGCGCGTCGAGGAGGTTACGGCGGCGCCGATCGGGGGATGGCGAGCTGAGGCAGCGACTCGTCGCCATGGCTGAACGCAGCTCGGAGAATTGGTGCGTCGGGTGTCGGAAACAAGTGAACAGCACCCACGCGTAACCCGTGGCTGAAAGTGCGCCGCGTCCCCCCGAGTGCAACGTTGGCTTCAGATCTCCCGAGCAGAGGTGCGCACATGTGCCAAGTCTGCATTGCGGAGGCACTGGTGGGGACGGTAGTGGGGATCTGGGAGTCTTTTGCCGGCTGCGAGTGTGGAGGGGGAGGGTTCGAACCAGTCAGTAGCGAGGCGGGGGGTTGGCGGGGGGGGGGTTGGCGGGGGGGTTCGAACCGGGCAGGGGGCGTGCTGCCCGCTCTTCCCCTCGATCGGCGCAGGCCCTTGGAGGGGCTCGGGGACCGCGCCGGGCCGCCGCTGCCTCGATCCGCCCTGCTCCGTGCCTAACCCCTCCCGGGGGTAAAACGACGCGGAGATCGGGACAAAGTCGGAGCGGGATGACTCGAAATCTCTGAGAATCGGCGGGCTTGGAGGACGTCTTGGGCGCCGCGGCCGCTCCAGAGCGCTCCGGAGCGCTCTGAAGGCGCTCCGGAACGCTCTGAGAGCGATTTATCCCGATCCTATAGCCCTGTTTCAGGGGGCTGCTCCGTAAGAACGGTTTTTTGGAGGCAGATCTGCCCTCAAAAAAGTGGTCTACTCTGTAAGAACGGTTTTTTGAAGGCAGATCTGCCTTCAAAAAATGGTCTGCTCTGTAAGAACGGTGTTTTGAGGGCAGATCTGCCTTCAAAAAACCGTTCTTACAGAGTAGCCCTGTTTCAGGGGGCCTCCGGGCGAGCGGGACGTTCCCTCGCCGAGGGCCTCGCCCTCGCCCTCCCCCGGCGCTGCAGTCGCTCCTGGACCTCCAGGGTAGTCTGGGGGCGTCCAGGAGGGTCGGGGCGAAGGAGAGAGGGGGGGGAGGGGGAAAGGGGGGGAACGCTCTGGAGCGATTTTTATCCCGATCCTGTAGCCCTGTTTCGGGGGGCCTCCGGGCGAGGGGGCCGTTCCCTCGCCGAGGGCCTCGCCCTCGCCCCCTCCCCCGGCGCTGCCTTTCGGGCCGCGGAGGGCGCGTGGCCACGCGGCCCGGGCGGCGGGGGGCTCTCGGGCCCCCCCTGTGGGCGGGGAGTGGGCGGCGAGCGGGCGAGGTGGCGACTTTGGTGATGGCGTTGACATATGTTACATGCTGCATGTATGTTACTTCTTCTTACTCATATCTAGCATCTTCATCAAAACTAGTTTACTTATATCCTACTTATAAGTAACTTATGTCTAATTTATAAGTCCGATAAGTCTGGTTTTTCGTATGGAAAATGGGGGGCGGGGGCGCACCGACTCGAGTCGGTGCGCCCCCCTCAAAAAAGGGCGCCCTCGAAAGGGCGCGGAGTGGCTCGCGCCTTCGCGGGTGCGGCTCCGATGCCTCGGCCTCCCCAGAGCCCCCTCGAGGAAGGAAGAAAGCATGTCGGGAGGTGTTTCCTAACCTTCGGCCTCCGGGGGCCCTCGCCGGGCCTCGGGAGCGTCAAAGCACGACTCAGGATGCAAAGCCGGTCATGGGGAAAGGGTCGGGACCTCTGGGGGTCGACGTCATGAAAAAATCATTACGTCGGGGGTCTGGGTCCCCTTCTCCCCCGGGAGGCGGCGCGAGGGCGCGGAGTTGTTCGCACTGCGCGCTCTCGCGCGGCGCGAGGGCGCGAGGTTGGGAGCCCTTGCCCCTCCGAGCCTGACCATCCCCCCGTCCTAACGCTGCCCCCGACCCCTGATTCGGGCGGTGCGTAATGGGGGGGGGGGGGCAGGAAAGCGGCGGGGGGGGGCGGGGGGGGAGTCGATGCGCCCCCCTCCGAGCTTATCCCCCCGTCCTAACGCTGCCCCCGACCCCTGATTCGGGCGGTGGGTAATGGGGTAATGGGGGGGGCAGGGCAGGGAAGCGGCGGGCGGGGGGGGGGGGGATGAAGAATGCTGCACCTTTCGTGCACCTTCGGGGCCCCTGGGAGCGAGCCTGAGTGTGAGCCTGCCGGAGCGGGAGCGATCGGAAGCACGAGTGACTGAGCGTGATGAGTGGGTTTGTGTGCGAGTGAGCCTGAGTGTGAGAGAGTCTGAGTGCGAGTGACCATAGGCATGAGTGCCCGAGTCGGAGGCCCGAGTCGGAGGCGGAGGCGTCACACGAACAACAAGACCCCATCTTAGGATACGGAGAAAACACGACCCCTCGGAAGTCTGGGCCCTCCTCGCCCCGCCCGCTTCTTGTGCGCCGCCGACGTCGCGCGAGCACAGCCGACGCCAGAGTCCGCCTCCGGCTGGACCCCCACCCTGCTGGGTCGATTCGCGAAACCGCCCGTGGGCGCCCTTCCCGTGGCTTCTTGAGAGGGCGCTGCTGCCGCCATTTTCGCGGGCCGGCGCCCGCGGGGCCCGTCCATCCGCGACGGAGTTGTTCTTGGGGGCGCTCGGAGCACTTCAGGCCGTCTGGCCGCACTCGTCAGTCGATTGAAGTATCGCTCCCCTCGGCCATTGAGCCTTGCTGGGCCTAAGAGACCAGCGCTCCCACGACCCCCCCCCGTCCCCTGGCTGTATCTTCCAGCAGGGCACGGGTCGGCCTTGCCAGTGGCGCGCGGGTCGGTTGTGTACGTATAGGGTTTTTAAGGCTCGAGTCGGCTTGGGTTACAATAGAGCCCAGCGACGACATCAGTTCTTGGCGCTGCACGCTTCCCAGGGTCAGCCAGCCAGAGAGCGCAACGTACAGGAGGTAGACGGATGAGGTGCGTGGCAAGGGGCTGGGAATGTGGGAAGAGAGTGAGGAGCGGGCAAAGGCGGATAACTAGAGTCGAAACAGTCGAGACCGTTGCCAGACGGACTCTGCGTAGCTGGCCACCAAGAGGTGTACTATATCCACTCTTCTTGCGAACTTTTGCTGGAGACCCATGCCGCAGTCAAGAAACCATGGCAGGGCTCTGCGGGCCCGAGCGTGCACGAAGCTTGCCACTCGGGGTGCAGGCAACGGGGGACCACCAATTCCCTCTGGCTGACCTGGGGGTGGGAGC